TTTTTTTTTTTTTTTTTTTTTTTTTTTGGTCCCATGCGATTCTGCGAGCATGGAGGTGCAGTCTGCTTAGTACCATGCTCACAGACACAATTCTGAGCGGCATTTCACTGCTGGCGTGCCCCAAGTGGCACTCCATCACTGACGTGGCCTTAGTTGGCCCAATGATGCTGACGTGGCATGTGTTGCTGATGTGTCACAGAGGCTTTGCTGATGTGGAGCACGCGGTGTCACTGACGTGGCAAACTGTGAAGGGAAAGAGAGACTGGTGTGGACAATACCCTTGCACGTGTGTGACTTTGCGGGGGGTACAGCACTAGACTAGGCTGTAGTGCCACGCGCCAGCATCCAGGGCATGTGCCCTGTCACACAGCTACCATAATCTGGCTGTGAAGCTGTAGTGACGATATCGTGTGATCTGAATTTAAGATGCAGGTGAGTTCGACCTATGTATTAGAACGGAACGAGAGATGTGCATCTGGGCTACCAGCCGGGCTGCTCGGGTCACCCTACTTTCTCGGGTGGCTCGGCCGTGCGAGGACCAGGGAAGGTCCAGGCAAAAGAAAAGAAAAAAACTCTAAAAAAATCCGGAGAAAAACTATGCTATTCAGAAAAATAAACTGAACAACGTTTGCCACCAGTACCTTTCCCGCCTGGGAAAATAGCGGGCCTCAGGTAGGCGTCCGACCTTTCCAGAGGCCGAAACGACATGACGGCCGCCGATCAGATTTATCAAAGGTAGTCGTCGTCGGACCCGACTTCCGAAGATTCAGGAGTTTGGGAAAACTGCCAGTTTTCCCTATTCTCCCACGCGGGAAAGGTACTAGTGCTAAATTGAAAATTAAAAAAACAAATTTAAAATTTATTTTTTCATTTTGTATTATTTTTTATTTTTTATTTTTTATTTTTGGCCCGGCCGGGCAAGTGGTCCCGGCCACTCTGGGGTCTAGTCCCACCTACAGCGTTGAGTTTTCTCAACGCGGAGCTTTCTATCACGTGTGGCGTGGTGGGACGGAGCTCTGCCGTTGATGTATTGCGAATCTAACGGTACCAAAATACAGGAGAATAATCTATTAGATTTAGTCATTTTGTAGAATTCTTTTTTGACGTGAAATCCGTTTTGTAGTATGCGTTGGCCCTTTTGGTTTGGG